AGAAAGTAACGCTCAAAAGCTCATTTTCTAGAATAAAAAAAGTGCTATTGAATGGGGTTTTTTTTTGACTGTTTAGTTTTTATACACATTACATATTAAATTAACACTACTCCAATCTGTGTAACATGTAACCTAAAAATTGTACTGAAAAAACACTAATTTATTTTCCCTAGTTCATGATTTCAAATATGAAAAAAATAAATAGAATAAAACTCATAACTTTTGTTTCAAACCAGGTTGTAAAAGCCTGTGAACTCGCATCTGCACTTTGGAGACAAATGTTGCAGGTTTTGCTGAGACAGCAGTGCTGGATGGGATACCAATTAACGGTAGTTGTACTGGTAATGTGGGCTTTGCTCTGGTTTGAGCCTAACAATCCGTATTACCTAGGTCAGCGAGCTCTGGAAAAACGATAATGATTTCCTGTCACCATATACTGTCTTGATCCTTCAACGTTCTCCTGGGAACAGAACGTTCCTGCTGGTTTCATTCTTTGTTTTTTCTATTAGATTCAATCTTCTGTTTTCATAATAGACTTAGCTGATTGAAAGCTTCCCAATTTTATCCAGAGCAAAGAGTTGACCGATCAGCTACAGACAAATTCATCCATTATTTAAATTAGATACTTGTACTACACACATCACATCATTCTTTGGTCAATTCTTCAGCACTAGCCCAAACAGCTCGGACGGTTATATAGAAATATTTGGGGTCCACCAGCAGATAGTGCCACAGTATTCTCTTGAATTTTTTTTTTTTTTATGGTATTTAGTATTTTGTTAGTATAATTTCTGTAAATAAAGTCTGAAAACCTGGGCATTTATTGATTTTTAATAATGGTAAATGCATAGAGGTTATGTATAAAGAAAGTCACGAATATGCAATGTGCATGCTGGTTCCTCTGGTATCCATGGTTACTGGAATAAATAACTAATAAGTTTAAGGCACTTAGAATCATAAAGCAATATATACAAATGTGCAAAAACACGTAAAAAATAAGGTGTCTAAAATCCAGCAGCACTCAACAAAAAGTGATACACAACTAAACTAAAATACAAAAAAATGGTGCGCTCAGAAATATACTTACTTAAATATACAAATAATCTTCTTTAACTTAAAATCTGTGAACACAAACTCATATAGTGCAGACCATCTGTTTCTAATACATGTAAATATTGTAAAAGCAAATACCTAGGGGTCTCACTCACATGTACCAGAGCTCTCTCACCCCTGGCTCTGTGTGTGAATGGCTCCACTTGAGAGGCTATATATCCCACAGCTTGTAGGGTCTTCAGACACACAATGTGATCTACTACAATTCACAGGGGGAGACAGGAGACCAGGAACCCAATGGCACAATATCTAACGTCTTTATTCAATAAGATACAATTAAAACTGCTTATTTTGTAAGTGGTGAGTATCCCACTAAAGTGCCCACAATCTCACTTAGGTATAGTCGAAGATATTTAAAAAAGAATATTTTTTTGGAAGTACTTGGACTGCTGCATATATATCACTATATAATTTTACTGTTTCTCCATTTTTATATACATATTTTTTTTGGTTTGTGTTGAGAGGTGTGATTAGGGACGGGCCACTGATGGCTTTAAGAAAAGGTCACCAAATCATTTTTGGGCTCAAGCAGTAACTATAAAAAAGTTTGGATTAGCCGTATTAGTCCAGTAGACGAGATGCCAAGATTATCTAAATGTTATTTCATGCTTAGCAGTAAATTTATTTTCCTGGCTATTTATCATGGCAGCATCACTTATGGGTAGCTACACCCTCAGTGGGATCAGAACATAAAACAATCAAAGGGACAGTATAGTCACCAGTGCAACTACATGTATTCCTAACCCTATAGTGTTAACACGACCATATAGCCCCCCTGGGCCCCTTATGCCTCCATAAATATAGTAAAACTCTTTTTTCTGGAGCCGTCTGGGACAATAAACAGATTATCTATCTCATGACAAGCTCCTGAGATAGATAAGTATCTGATCAAATGTTCCCTAACATCCAGATGATGGAGTTGGACCTCCAATTCTGAGGACCGAATTAGAAAAAAAGGAAGGTAGAACAATATCCTGATTTAGATGAAAATTAGAAACTACCTTAGGGAAGAATTCTAGCTTAGGTCGCAATACCACTCTGTCGTGGAACATCTGAGTATACCTTTCTTCACAGGAAAGTGCTCTAATCTCTGACGTAATAGCCAGCAAAAATAGTCTTATATATGAGAGTGTTGAAATCCAACTCTGCAAGAGGAAAAAATGGTACTTCAGATAAGGCATCTAGGACTAGAGGAAGGTCCCGTAGAGGTGTAAAGTTGCGTTGAGGAAGTCTGATACGAAGAGTAGCCTTAAAGAATCTAGCAATGAAGGGATTAGAAGCCCAACAATTGTTACATAGGGCTGATAGAGCAGAACACTGGACCTTTAGAGTACTCAGACTTAAACCTCTTTCTAAGCCAGCTTGTAGAAATTCCAGGATATGGTAGTTCTGCAAGAAATTCACTCCCTTGTTGAGTGTCCAAGATTTAACCATCTCCCATATATGATAGCACTTAGATGTAGAACGCTTTCTAGACTGCAGAAGAGTATCAGTCACTGCCTCCGGTAATCCTGATTGCAGGAGTCTCTCCGTTTCAAAAGCCAGGCCCCCAATCCCAGCTGTTCAGAATTGGGATGGAGGACGGGACTGACTTAATAGATCGAGCCTGTTCGGTTTTTCCAAAGACATCCTGCACAGGAGAGGAAACCAAGGTCTCCTTGGCCACACTGGAATGATGGCTATTACCACTCGCTCTACCTTCCAGATTTTCTTCAGCAGGTGGTGAATGATCGGCAGTGGAGGAAACATACCCCAGATCGAATGCCCAAACCTGTGATAGAGCATCCTGTCCCATAGGCTGATGGTCTGGGTGAAGTGAGAAGAACCTTGCTACTTCCGAGCAGATGCCATCAAGTCGATCTGGGGTATGCCCCACCGAAGAGTTATTGCCTTGAAGACTTCTGAATGAAGTTTCCATTCTCCTGGCATGACTATTGATCTGCTTAGGTAATCCGCCAAAAAAGTCTGAGGCCCTGGTAGATATATACCGCCTTTAGACCTTGAAGATATTTGAGCCAAAAACACGGTGTCAGTTCCTTCAAGAGAAATTTGCTTCAGGTCCTTCCTTGGTGGTTTACATAATAAGCAACTGCCCTGTTGTCTGTTTGAATCATAATCCAAGCATTCTTCATATAAGGGAGAAAACCTTGAAGGGCATTGAGAATAGCTCTTAACTTAGATTGGGTTGCAATTTTCTCTTTGTTGGACCACGGTCCCTTCTTCCATAGTGACCCAAAATTGCCAGCTTGCATCTGTCGTGACTACCAACCAGTTTGGGTCTTCCAAATGGTAATACAAAAACTAGTCCTGCGCTCAAACTCCCATTACTCCTGGGCAGCAGCAATGACCATAGTACACAGCCAAAATACATATAGTAAAAACCAAAGAAGAAAAAGTTACCTGCGCTCTTTCCACATCCCTATGTATTTTTAAACAAATGGAGGTTTTTAGTTATTGTAAACTGAAGTCATTACTATAGCCAGGAATACAATATCAGCACTGAATCTACAGCATTAAAAAAAAATTTTTATTCTGCATAGTCTGATGCGGTTGTAATTACTTCGCTAACCCCACTCTATGAAGAGTAGCTTTTAAACTCAAAAGCATTGCTGGCCAAAATATTGATAGAGACTTATTAAAAGCATTTACTTGTAAACTCAAATTAAATTTGTAATTTTGTGAAATAAAGGCTACACAATGGAGTATGTAGACAACCTGGGGCCAAAATAGTAAATTACATTTTACTGTATTTTCCTACAGATCTATCCCCCACTAAGAATATTTCCATAGTTTAGTAATTTATCTATAACCTTCCTGACCTCCAGCTGACTCGTATTTTGAGATACCAATCTTATGAGACCCCCAGTCTTGCTGTTCCAAGTGGAAAATATGAAATCCCATTTTAGTAAGCATGTACATTTTATACAGAATGTGTTTGTTCAAAAACATTTCAAATCACCCTGAATACAAATATGATGGAATATCCTTTTTCTATTTGTCCCCCAAAACGGTTCTCTGTTATTTCGCGTGAACCTTGCAACAGCATGTGCAGACTGGATAAGTCTTATCTGGAGTTGTCTAACCAGAATAGAGGAGGATACCTGCCATGAAAGGAGTAGGTAGACTGCATCATATCTGCCAATTCAGTGAATCGAGGGACAGGTATTTGCAACAAGACAAGATGGACGCACAGTAACAGGTTGTTGAGGGCCCTGCTCACATGAGCTTACATTCTAGGAGAATATGAACACACTGCAAAAGTCAAGACAGATTAAGAAACATTATGTAATGAAGTGGCATGTATATTACCAGCATTGGCACTGGTATTGAGATATTTAGCATTTATAATATGTAGTTTGAACAGAGTGCTTCATAAAAATAATAAAAATAGAACTTGCCAAGAGACCCGAGTCCAGATCCAGAAGCAAAAATAAATAAATTACTGAACACTCAAAACTGATGTAATACCTCAACAGCTACAAGCAGCAGTCTTTACAGTGACTTGCTTTTTGTACCTGTTTGTGTCCCATTAAAACCATAAAACTTGTTTGTGCTTAGGTTTTTGTTTATAACAGACAGGTGCCCAGGATTCAGTCATGCCATGTCACCAGAATTAGAATACAAATTCCAGTTCCTAAAAGATGCCTCATTGCATGGAATGGTGATGGAAAGAGAAATGGTAGCCCACACTGCAAAAAAAGTTGCGTTTCAGTGAAAGTGATAAAACTTTTCACCCATACATCTAAGCAATTAGAATGCAATTTGGCTGATTGGTGGGTTGTCCAAATGCTGTAACTCTTAAGTGGATGAGCATGATTATTTAATTGGTTATTCAGTATTATGCAGGTTTTTGCATGGATGAGACTAAATAAAAAAAAAAAAAACATCTTGGCATGTATTGGGTCTTTAAGGAATGTTGAAGCATAAACAGAACAGGCAGACTGATTGGATCAAGGACTTTTATTAAGTTTACACAGGGAGGCACTGTATATATACACACACAGCAGGGTGAATTATTTCTTGCTGGACTCCTCTTCCTTTGATAAAGTTTTAATAATCTCCTCTTTCTTGGCCTGAAGTCTTTCTTCACGACGCTTCCTTGCCTCCTTTGTCTTGGACCTGCGTGCCTCAGCCTGATCACTGCAAAGAAGAGAAGTGTAAAATTAACACTAAACATCAAACTTCAGGTTCATCTGCCCCACATTTTCACGTAATAAGCAAGCACACTGTTAGACAGTACTGCTTACAATAGACAGATGGGTCCAATGTAACTAACCCTTTAATAGCTTCTTTAAATATATCCATTATCTAACAAGTGGAAAACGTCAAGTATCCTATTTACCACAGCTCACAGTGGTTATGCTGCCAGGAATGCCCTAGAGGCCCCCAAATGTTAGTCAGATCGTTTTAGAACAGTTTGCCCTAGGGTCTTCTCCCCACCTCAACTACCAACGCAAGAGCAAAAGATAGAATAGCACTACAGCCCTCCTAAGAAAAGCTCACTGGATGAGAGTATCAAGCTAAGGATTGCAAATGTAAAGTTAAACTGAACAAACTTCATCTAGGCCAGCATCAATGCAGAACAAAGCTAGTCCAATTTTTATCATTCTACTGGAACAGAACAAAATGTTGAAATTCCAAACAATTGGCAAATTTATGTTTCTCAGTCTCTGATGACACAGATGAAGTTACTCATCTCCATTCAAATCTTTAACCCATGCAAGAAAACCTTGTTTAAAGTTACAAGTCTTCCCAAAGAAAGGACTTCAGAATCAGATACTTTAATAAGTCTTTGCCATGCTACCTTCCAATAAAGTGAGGAGCAGATGCAGGGTAATATCTGTAAATTGACATTAATACTCACGCCAACAGCTTCTTGCGAGCTTTGTCTGCCTTCAGTTTGTGAATGTGCTCCATGAGGATACGTTTGTTCTTAAACACGTTACCCTTCACTTTCAGGTAAAGACTGTGGTACCTTTAAGAAGGAAGAGGAAAGCAGTATTCAATCTTAAGTCTTCAGTATGCAAACCAATTCTGCATGAATCAATACAAATTGGTGGGTATTCAACCTCCATTTTGGAATAATGAACCCCAAAATAAGAAATATATTCAGGAAATGGGAGTTGGAGAAGATCACTCTATGGACCAACTCTGCAGAAAAAAAAACATTCTGATGGTTCTTAGAGTAACACTTTATACACGTTTCTACAACGCATGCAATCATTAAAATAGCCAACAGTGTACAAGGTCTATATGAAAAGACAGCCAGTTACAGAGATACTTCAACTTAAAACAACTGGCACACTACCCATTCACTAATGTTCCTTCAAATATAAACTGGGTCGCAATACTTACATGTGCCTGTCAATCTTCTTGGATTCACGGTAACGACGGAGCAGACGACGCAAGATTCTCATTCTCCTCATCCAGGAAAGTTTCTCAGGCATACGGGCATTGGCCGTACCCTTTCTCTTACCTATAGAAGGTAGAATGAGTATTCAATACCACAAGAGCAGGCAAAAACTATTCAGATCTTCTCTACAGAAGGGCAAGAAAACCAAATTGAACTAGCCTAAACAAAAACAAACCACTTTTACCAAGAGACTGTAATACCCCATATAGACCAATTACAACAGAATGTATTTTAATGATATGGTCTCGCACACCAGTATCCTGTGGTATAATTATTTGTTACATCAATAGTAACTATTGGATTTTAAAGTAAACAAGAATATAGTTGTGTATAAATCACAAGTGTTTATTTTCATAAGTAAGCGAATTAGATACCAATAAAGCAAGACTTAAATGGATTTGTGGTCAGTTATTTTAGTTTGTGTGATTTATTTAAACACTGCAAAAAGGTAATTGTGCTCATGCTTACCGACACCCATGTGTCTGCCCTTTCTACGTGCAAGGGTGTTCTTGCGACAGCGAGCACGAGAGTGGACAGTCACAGGCTTGCGGATGATCAGACCATCTTTAACCAGCTTTCGGATTTGCTGACCTAAGGGAAGTCACAAAAAAGGTTAGCACCTCATGTTAAAGGCTAACTAACATGTAGACAAGCAAGATTGACACTTACGAGAGTTGGCATTGGCAATTTCATTGGTCTCATTGGGATCCAGCCATACTTTCTTCTTGCCGCAACGCAGCACGCTGGAGGCGAGCCTCTTCTGCAGTCTGAGCATGCTGTGGAGATACAATGGAAAGATAATGCATTAAAAGAACAGTTTTAGAATACTTGGAAAGATTTTTGACATGCAATTTAAATATTCTGACAAAAATGAGTAGTAAGAAGCTGAACATTAACTTCAGTAATTGCGGAATAGCAAAATAATTTAGGCCACAATGAATTCTGGCATCTGTATACTGTAAAATGTAACTTACTACATTATAATCAATACTACATTCATGCTAATGCAGGGGGAAAGGCATACTCACTACCTACTGAAAAGCAACGTAAAGACCAAAAATTTAACTATGGGACAATGTAACCATCATATAGATCCTAGCTAAAGCATTATATTGAAAAATACTTTACGCAGAAAAGATTACGACCATTTGCATCGCAAACACCCATAATGCAAGTCTCGATCAATTCCAATATTGTAATCGTGTATCAATTTGGCCAATACAAAAATACAAGTAAAGTCAGTTTTTGAGAGACGACAACCAACATTTGTTACAAAAATCACATCACCTTAACCCCTTAATGACCGAAATTCTGGAATAAAAGGGAATCATGACATATCATGTGTCCTTAAGGGGTTAAAGAAAACAGTGCAGTGGTTATGGTGGAAAGGGGCCCTGCTTTCAATGTAAGTAGTCAAACTGTTTGCCAACAGTTTGGTGCATCTTTGGTAAGATGTCAAACACTAGTACTTGCGCCTTTGACAGCTAGAAACTTAGGAGACCTATTGGAAGCTTCAAGCAACAGCTCTCACTGATGGAAGAGACCAATTAATCCACCATTAACTGCTCCAGACCAATGTAGATACAATACAATTAAAGGACCACTATAGGCACCCAGACCACTTCAGCTTAATGAAGTGGTCTGGGTGCCAGGTCCATCTAGGATTAATCCTTTCTGCTATGTTTACTTTAGGGTTAATCCAGCCTCTAGTGGCTGTCTCATTGACAGCCGCTAGAGGCGCTTCTCACTGATTTTCACATTGAGAAGAAGCCAGCGTCCATAGAAAAGCATTGAGAAGGCTTTCCTATGGACTGGCTGAATTCGCACGCGGCTCTTGCCGCGCATGCACATTCAGCCGATGATGGGGAAAGGAGGCAGAGAGTCCCCACCGCCGAGGGAGCCCGGCAGTGAAGAAAAGGTAAGTGTTTAACCCCTTCCACACCATGGAGCCCACCGTGAAGGGGGGACCTAGAGACCCTATAGTCCCAGGAAAACTAGTATGTTTTCCTGGCACTATAGTGGTCCTTTAAGGAATCAAAATGTACTTCTAAGTTCTAATGAAAGCATGTAAAGTATGCAGCTGCATGCAACACAAGATCTGGCATATACATGAGGCTTGAGCATTCAGATAAAAATTTGCCAATTCGCCCACATAATCATACGACGGCCGAAACAAAGTTAAAAATCATGTGATGGTCCCAATTCTTCCATGCAATTTGGAACGCTCAAATTTAGGAAATAACTTCATTTAGATTAGCATTTCTGAGGACACCATGTGAGCGCACTGGTTAGTAGCTAGCTCCCCTAATTCTATATCTTTACAGTATGTGTGAAGACATTGCATTGAGGCACCGTTTAGTAGATAGCTCCCTTATTGTATCTTTATACATGTATCCTACATAAGGACACCATGTTAGGGAGAGATCTATTGAACAGTTGGCAGAGAATAGTTAATAAGATGCCAGGCCCTAGTCCAGCACAATATATAATCAGTATGCTATATAGTCAAGTGTCCAGTAGTATATGATGATATTTAAAAATATATATCATATTACTGGACACATCGAGATATATATATATATATACATACATACACATACATATATTTATAGTATATGCCAAGAATGGGGTACATTGACGTTGTGGCAGGTTTATGCAATATATGATCATAGAATGTCACTAAACCCACATTATTTTTTTGCCAAGGTGAGGTGTTTTTAAATAAAACTATCACAATCTCTAAGATTTGAAATCATTGTTTAGTGAATAAGTGAGTGCGCTGGATTGTGTAATATACACACACACACACACACACATTATATATCATATTATACTGGACATATCAATATATATTATTACAGGATACAGATCATTATATTATTATCCACTGATTACATATATTATTATACTATACATTATATACATCGCTATGTACAATATCATAATATATGTAATCAGTGGATAATATCTATATCTCGAAGTGTTCTGTAATATATTAATAATAATAATAATAATAAGATATATACACAGTGTGTGTGTGTGTGTGTGTGTGATGGCAGGCCGGTATATCTCTCTATCACTGGGCGGATTATAATAATAACATTAATAATAATAATAGTCAGTTCCCGTGTCTCTCCCCTCGCCCCTCCCCCCTCTCCCCTCTCTGGGGTTATTGGGGTCCCCGTTGGAGGCTCCCGTGGCCGGTTTGGGGGCTCTCTCCCCGGACCCCCCGGCTGCTCACCTCATGGCGGCTGCTCGGCTTCAGCTCGGAAAGGAAAGGAAGGAGCTCGGGCGCTACCATTATTATAAGGGGGTGATCCCACTCTTCCCCTCAGGGCATCCCAACACACTGCCGGCCACTGAGCGGCGACCGTGTGGGGGAAATCAATGTAACCGGATAATAATCAGGTAACCGGCGGGGAGTGGCGGAGAACGGACGGCGTATTGCTGTAAAACGGCGCCGTTTGTGGGCACTGAGCTCCCCCAGGTGATGCAGTGGTGCAGTCCGATCGCTCTGCGCATGTCCAGAAAGGGGAGGGGCGAACTCCGAGCCATGTGGGAGGGGAGCTCGGGACAAAATGGCGGCGGTGCGGCGCAGCGCTCAACCATGTGACGTCATACAACCACGTGAATGCCGAGGTCACATGGTACCGAGAAAGACCCCGCCCATCAGGCCCAAACTCTAACCACTTGGCGCTGCTGTCATGGCAACATGTTCTGTCAATCATAAACACTTAGCCAGTCACTAAACACTCACTCACCCCCAAACAGTCTCTCAGTCACTAAACACTCACTCACCCCCAAACAGTCTCTCAGTCACTAAACACTCACTCACCCCCAAACAGTCTCTCAGTCACTAAACACTCACTCAAACAGTCTCAATGCTAAACACTCACTCACCCCCAGTCTCAGTCACTAAACACTCACTCCTACCCCCAAACAATTCTGTGACCTCACCCCAGCAGTCTCTCAGTCACTAAGCCTACTCACCCCCAAAAGCAGTCTCTCAGTCACTAAACACTCACTCACCCCAAACACAGTCTCTCAGTCACTAACCTCTCAAGCCCAAACAGTCTCTCCAGTCACTAAACACTCTCCATAGCCCAAACCTCTCAGTCACTAACCACTCACTCACCCCCAAACAGTCTCTCAGTCACTAAACACTCACTCACCCCCAAACAGTCTCTCAGTCACTAAACACTCACTCACCCCCAGTCTCTCAGTCACTAAACACTCACTCACTCCCAAACAGTCTCTCAGTCACTAAACACTCACTCACCCCCAAACAGTCTCTCAGTCACTAAACACTCACTCACCCCCAAAAAGTCTCTCAGTC